ATTTGAAGAATTCTATGACCAAGAACCCTACAGTTATACTGGAGTTTCAATCGTCAACCTACAGAATCTGGTAGATGAAAGAAAAGTCGTCCATAAAGATTCTACCCATCCTTTGGAGACTTCCTCGATACCACCGATTTACGAACAACTGAAATCCTTCATCGTTGAAGATGCAACTAGAACTGGTTTCCCAATCTCACTATTTTCTTCTGTTTCAAATGTTACTGACGTGAAGGTGAAAGAAAAGGCTTTGCTAGAATCCTTCGACAGTCTTCGTCCGTTATACCCAGAACCGATCATGCAGCTCTCTTGTTCGTACAAGTATTACTCAGCAAGTATTGAAATGGAACGTTTGAACTCGATTCAAGGCGAACTGAAGGACTTCCATAACCAGAATTTTGACTCTCAACTAAACAAGATAATTGACAGGGTTGAATACAGTTTGAAATTACTTTCTTCTCGTGATAGACCTTCACCGTCAATAACGCGAACTAGGCCTGTATTAACGCGTAACTCTCTCAAAGTTCTTGAAGAATGGTACGAGTGTCATCTGGATCATCCATATCCAACAGCTTCACAAGTAGAATGGTTAGCACAGGTTTCCAGTCTGAACACAGAACAAGTCAAGAAATGGTTCGGAAATAAAAGAAGTCGTTCCAAGAATACAAGATCCCTGACCGAAATCGCCAAGGTTAAACGAAGACAGAGACTACTGAAAAGACATTGATTAATTTGTTATTTATTGTTAATGCTTGTTATCTTATGTTTATTATTGACATTAAAATCAATTCCTGATATAATAGGTTTTTTTTCATCATTCAGTTTTGAATCGATTTAAATAACATTAAACAGAGAGACCATTCACACTGCAGTCCAAATATGTAAATGTCGATGATAGACACTTGATGGTTGTTTGTGACCTGGTGAATGACTAGGTCTGTGAAATCTTTAGCGAAATCGCTACCAACATAATCATGCTTTGTGTCTTAGTGATAGATGGGTAATTTCAAATCTATTGATCAATTTGACTATGCGTAATGAAATGCTAACACAAAATCTTATTCAAGTATGATTATGTATCAAAATTAGTCATCCATCGTTATGTTTATAATAAGAATAAGTGTTGACAGTGTTAATTATTTGAGAACTTAGTCAATTTATTGTCTTAGTAGAATTTAGCATATTTGTATGACGCTTTAGCGAAATCGCTACCCGCATAATCATGTTTTGTGTCTTAATGATAGATGGGTAATTTCAGATCTATTGATCAATTTGACTATGCGTAATGAAATACTAACACAAAATCTTATTCAAGTATGATGCAGCTTAGTGCGATGATGTTAGTTAAGGGTATTTTGATGAAAGTCCTGGAAATCAGGGCAGTTTCGCATCTATTGTCCTTTTTTACATTTTACAAACCCTTTGGAAGTCATCAGTTCTCAAAAGAGGCTGAATGAATCTGTAGCAAACTAGTTATTAACATAATAATTATGCTTGGTGTCTTTGCTGGTGATGTTGGTTAAAGTTATTTCGATGGGTGTCTGTTGGGTGAATAAGTGTTTTTGTTCTTGACGACACCAATGAAACATAATAGAACAATATGAAACTACAAAACTAATCACTGAGTGGTTAATCATTGATTTTTAATCATCTACCTGTATTCCATTAATCATCGGGGATCAAAGATTGCGATTATTGACCGCGATGACAATCAATCAAAAACATAAATATGTTTTAATCCAGTGAATCCGATTAGTAATCATGATTGAAACATATAAATAATGATTAACTCCAATATGACATCATATTCTCAAATTGTCACTTGGCTTTCACATAACTATCATCTTAAGTATGGCTGCTGTTTTTCCAAACGTTTCGTCGTTGCCCGCAGGGAACTATGAAGTATTGAGATTTGGACCACAATCTTCAGAAGGTAAGTACAATTAATTATTTCTTGCTTATATATGTGCTAAAGGTGAAGGTTAACTTATATACTTATCTAGATATATTGAGCACTATTTTAACAGGTGAAAATAGTTTTATTGTACTCCTCTTCCATGCTCAATCCT